CACCTACCCCTGCTGACTCCCTCACTTCAGGGGGCGTTGATCTGCATGCCACGCCCCTTCCCTCCCCCTCCCCTTCTACCACACCAGACTTACCACCTGATGGCAGCTATATCGGATCAGTATCAGCCGATATGCCTCCTTAAATATCAGCTATTGGCCCCCAAAACCTCTATCAGTGCATCCCTAGTGTGTCTATACCGTTTCAGCACTAGTCTTGGGATCCCCGCAGAGAAGTAAGCCATATGTATTTGCTTCTGCTTTCCATGCTGAAACAGAGACTAGATGTCACCATTAGATTGTTAGCTGTGCATGGTACTACTTTCAGTACACCTAAGGTTAAGATCATGACAGCATCCCTGGGCGCTTTCCAGAAGGTGACCACGTGGCATTTTTATGTCTTGCTGCGTATGTAGGGAGGATGTCACTAGTCAGGACTTGTTTCTTGACAGCAATGTCAGGATAGGTGCAGAGACGGCATAGACATGCCCTTGGATTCCTCAGGTAGTGAAACAAAGGCTCTTCTTTTTCTTTTAGTTAACTAGCTGAAGCTTGTAAAACATTTGTGATTAAATTTTTATTGAAAAAGTATTTCTTTAAATAGAGGATTTTTAGTTATCCTTTGCCTGAGTACTTTAATAGAATCAAACTTCTCACCCTCAAAAAGGCAATATAAAGCTGTAACGTGTAAACACAGGCTTAGGAATATAAATACATAGTTTGTCAAAAGTCTGATCTTATGACTTGTTTATAGTCATAGAATAAGAGGGCCCTTGTTCACGTGAGGAAATGGCCCCTTTTAGTGGTTTAATTGCCCTGTTTAATGATTACATTGCATAAGTCTACATGCTTGGCGGTGTATTTCGATTTAAATGACTTTTTTATGTAGCTAATTAAAATGTATCCCATGTATTTTAGTTTGCTACATAACAAATTACAGTGATATTCCTCACATGTACAAGGGCCCTATCTGGAGAAGGTGGCAGGGACAGGGCACTGGAAGCCCAAGCTTCCCCGAGCATGCCTGGGCTTTCAGTGCACTATTGGATCCGGCGGGGTGCTGCTTGTGAGCTAGGGCTGCACTCGCACAGCTATCACCCCACCTGGGCGGCCCCAGGGTTCACTGCTGCCACAGAAGCAGGCACCACCCCCTCCCTTCCACCCTGCAGCTTGGGCTGTGACCCTGCATCAGTTTGCGCAGGCAGGCTCCACCGTGGGAAAAATAAAAAAGCAGTTGGGGCCTGATCTTGTTTCCTCTCCCAGAGTCTGCCTGCGTTTCCTGCAACCGGAGAGTGAGTTGCTGGTGGTTCGCACATCCCCTGAGCTGTGGGGGCTCCCGGGGCTTCCCTCTGCAGTGGTGATACTCCCCAGGCAGCACCCACCTGCTGGCACCCTGCCCAGGCAGTCCCAGGAGATGGTGTCACCACTTGCCCCCCAGCTGCAGCAGAGGTGGGCAGGCTCCAGGAAAAGAAAAAGGATCAGTCCCCTTACCGCTTTTATTTTTCCCCTTTGACAGAGCCTGCCTACTCTGCAGCAGTGGGCTCTGGTGCTTCATTCTAGCTCTGACTTGCCTGCATATCTGTTTGAAATGCCTTAGGATCTATAATAATAACATGCTTATTCTGTCTGTTTGGAGATCTCCAGTTGTTTCAGTAAGCATTGTGATTGTCTGCCAAGACAACCAATCAGAGTGCTGTGGACAGACAGAATAAGCCTATTATTATTATAGATTGTTAATTCTTTCTTTGCAAGATTGTGCCTAAAGAACAGTAATTTCTGAAAGTCCCACTTTTCATACAGCTTCCTGGTTTTCAAACATTACATTCATGCCATGAAGTTCCTCTTGTGAGATTCATAGATTATAAGGCCGGAAGGGACCTCGGAAGATCATTGGGTCCAGCCCCCTGCACCAAGCAGGAAAGACAACTGGGGGTCAGGTGTCCCCAGCAAGATGACTGTCTAGTCAGAGAGTCGGGCGAGTTTTGGTTGCTGTCAGGCTTTACCAAACGCTGCCTCACTTGTTAGAATTAACCCCATCCTAAGTAGTTTACTGTATGTACAAAGTGGACTGGATTATTGCAAAAAATATTTTCCTTTTTATGGGCAGGTGTCTTGCTATTGGCAACCCTGCCATTTAATGAGTTAATCCATTACATTTTGTGCTGCTGCACGATTCTGGGTGTTTTGGTTGACCTTGTCCTCCATAAAATATAAGGTGCTTAGGAAGAAAATGAAATTTTATGATGAGAAGCACCTGTCTCTTGATTTTTTTTCTCTTTTTTTAACTTTCTGCTGTATATGTCAAATGTCATATTATGCAGGGACTATGGAATTTGAACACTTTCCTTTTTGGCTGGTGCATTATTTCACTCAATCAGTTTTGTTTTTTTTTAACCTTCTCACTTCTTCCTTTCATCTGAGTTATGGGGGACTTCAGATTCTTCCTGGTTTGGCCAGGATCTAAGAGAGGGTATATAGGGGTTGATGGCAGTGCAGAGTTCTACCATTGCAAAGGTTAATACCTAAACTGTAACTATTTCTTGGTTCTGCTGCCATGCCAAATAAAAAAATTAAAGGTTGCCAATGTTCTTGATGTTGCAGATTTTACAAATAGTAGTCAGGTTGGCAGGGTGATGTTTTTAAGAAATCTAAAAGGTAGGGCTATTTGGCAGGTTGATGTTTTTAAGAAATCTAAAAGGTAGGGCTGTCAGTTAATCGCAGTTAACTTATGCAATTAATGCAAAAGCAAATTAATGTGTTAACTTTTTTAATCACACACATTGTTATGACCAGCAGAGTGGAACAGCCAGAAGCTGTGCGCACAGCCCTGACTCCAGCCTGCCCCACACCTGCTTCAGACTCACCTGCCCATGCTGAGCAGTGGCAGCAGCTGGGTAGAAGCTGCTGCTCGGCACAGGGGAAAGCGGCTCTTCACCACTACCGGGCCCTTCTTGCTGCAGCTGATCAGAGCCTGCGCCTGTGCTGTGCTGCAGCTCTTCTCTGCTGCTGTTACTGCCACCTCCAGGCCACCTAGCAGGGTTGTGGTGGCAGTGCAGAGGAGCCACAGGGCAACCCAGGCACAGGCTCCAGGTGGCTGCTGCAGTGAGGGGAAGGGACTGCTTTTCATCTGTGCTGAGCAGCAACTTCTGCATGGCTGCTGCCACTGCTCATCGTGGGCAAGTGAGTCTGCAGCAGGCGCGGGTGGGGTCAGGGCTGCAGCTGTGTGCTGTTGGTGGTGGCAGGGAGGAGTTGCAAGGCACACCAGCTGTTGCGGGGGGGGGGGTTATGATTAGAGTTTAATTGTGCGATTAAAATTGCCATTAATTGCAACTTTTAATCTCGCAATTAATTGCAATCGATTTTTTTTTAATTAGTTCTACTAAAAAGTGAAATATAATTGTTGTATACATTTCAGTATCTAGTGTACTATTAAAACTTTCAAATATAACTCTTGATATGGCAGTATAGAAAATATTTAATGTAGATTTTCTTTGCTCACCCGTTTTTATACTGATCTCATTTCATCCATTCTCTTCTGTTTTTTGTCTTCAATAAATATTCTCTCCCCCCTTTTTTTTTTTTTTTTTTAGGGCTATCTCTTTTTTTTTTTTCTTCCCCCTTCCCCAGTCTTTTGTGTGACTGTTCCCTGTTCTGCTATTTCACTCTGTTCAGTAGTAACAAAGTGAAATTGGCTACCGTAGCACCCCATGAATATCAGAAGAATTTGTGCTTGCGTGCACGCACACATGCACTGAATGCAATTACATTTGTTTCATCTGCTTTTGTGATGTACACTCATGACTTGTTGGCCATGCACTTTATTGTAATAATAAAAGCTCTCAGGTTCAAAGGTTGCTTTATATATTTATTCCCTCTACCATTTTCCTTTTTATTCATGGATATCTAAATATTCTTTTAAACCAATGTAGCAGTTCTAACCACTTCTTTAAAGTTACATTAGTTCCCATTTGGGTCTCCTGTTTGTTCTTCTTTTAAAATACTTTGCACAGGTGTTTTCCAAACACGTTTTCTTTCCCAAGTGAGTATAAGCTTTTCAGCCATTCATCGAGGAAGATTAGATGGTGTTTTCCCATTTTCAAAATAATATTCTCTCTTCAGCTGTTTTATTGAGTTGATTCAAGTAGCTTAACTTAAAACACCAAGAGTAACGTTTCTATTAGCTCGTTCTTTGGGTAGAGCAAAAGATTTGTGACATCTTACATCCAGTAGTTCAGAACTTTCTTATCTGAAAATTCCATAGGACTGTATTTAACAAAGCTCCATAAATTGAGGCTCCTTGGTCAGTCCAAGAATGATTTTCAGGTTCCAACAGCAAAAGTCTTGGCCATACTTCTAGTATCTTCTACTGTAGTTCAAATATTTAGTTCCTTATTTTTCCAAATTGTGTGTATACATATGTCTATACATACTGATGGATGGAAGGATAAACGTACATGCATACGTGTATATTAAGACTTGTCATAAGTAAGGAATTGTAATAGCTAAGTTCTTAAACACTGCCTTAAATACATAAGTGGCAGTGCTGAGCAGAGAACTTCCTCACCCTAAATCTCCTGTATTTCTTAATCTTACGTAAATTGCAAGAGTCACTTCATTATAGGGAGTAACAGTGTGTTTTGGAGGTAGGCAAAATAAGCTGACCTTTCACAATACAACCCTAGTGTACAATTAATTATTCTACTGAAATTTTGAGGAAAATTTTGCAATTCAGATCTCCATCCTGAATCAGTAGCATTACTTATATATGTGACTGATATAGGCCTTGACCATCTATTTAAGTAGATGGAAAAAGTATCTCTGATTTCAGTGGTCATAGGATCAGAGGGATATTGCAGAAGAATATGCCTTAACCTTAAGTGATGGCATCTGTTTAGTCTGTTATATAGGAAGAATGAGATAAAGTAAGCATGTAAAATATCTAAGGTGTCAAATACTTAAGTCCTTGGCACTTGTATTTTTTTAAGTTAGAAGTACATTTTATCTCTCCCTTCCAAAAACACATGCGAGGGAACAAAAATATAAAGTCTGCATTGAACCTGGGAAGATACTATGTGCTGTATTTTTTTTCTAGCTCTAGATATAACAAGGGTGGCTAAGCAGACTTAAATTAAGAGTTATGAAAAGTTTGTTTAAGGAAGAGAAAAGGATGTCTGGAACTTTTCTAGCTAAGAGTTTTTGCAATGAAAAAAGGAAAAAAAGAAAGAAAAATACAGCTTTCGTACATTGCCGCTGGTCTCTAAAATGATTCAAATAATCATGCTTGCTTTTCTCTAAAAATAGTACTTCTAGTTGACTCGCAAAATTGTTTCTGGTATGCTTATGCTCATGGAGTTTGAAACAATCAACTTACACAAATTTAACAATTTACTTTTTTTTCCAAATATTTTAAAGGCTGCAAACTCCAATGGCTCTGTACTCTTAAAAAGATACTGTCATTTAATCTAAATATTGGTGTATTCCTTGATTTGTATGCTGAAGACCCTTATTGTTGCCTTGAAGTAGATTGTACCAGTCACTTACAAAATTGAAACCAAAATTTAGATTTCAAAAAGAGGGGAAATAAAATTTAAACATAATTGAAGCTTGAAAGTATACTAGCTTGCTGTGTGTATCTTGTGTCATTTTTTGCCATGTGTAGTGCTGAAAAGTGTCTCTTGTGTATAGCTGCCTTGGCTGTCGAAGAGCTTGGCTTTGAGCGATTTCATGCATTAATTCAGTAAGTAACATGTTGGAACATTTAAAATACACTAATTGTCACACTAATATTCAAAATCTCCATGTTGAATGGCAAGGGTTTCTTTATATATCATATACAAATGGGGTCAAACTGAATTTAATACTGTTTGAACAATCTTCATCTGTGCACTGTATTTTTTTACCTTTCAAAGGGAAACAGTACTTTTTCTCCCCCCCCCCCTTTTTTTTTTCACTAGGACCAAAACATTACAGATTTCTTGTCTAAAATATTTGACTCTTGCATTTTGCCCTTGACTATGTTAAGTTCTTTCACAGGTAGATTTCATAGACATTAGGGCTGGAAGGGATGATCTTGCAAAGTCCCTTCCAGCCCTAATGTCTGTGAAATCTACCTGTGAAAGAACTTAGTGTAGTCAAGGGCAAAATGCAAGATTCAGATATTTTAGACATAGTAGTTAGAAGGCTTTGAGTAAAAGAAACTAAACTTCTAAATTTGACTTGATAAACTCTTTAAAAATTATTCTGGCTGAAATGCTTGTTTGATATGTAATTCCAGAAGCAGTTTGCAGCACAGGCTATCTATCTGTCTGTAACATAGGGCAGAAGTATTTTGAGAAATACTTCACCTTAACAGATATCCCTGATACTCTCTGTTTTAGCTTTAGCACTATTCTTTCTTCTTTTTGTATAAGTCCTTCATAAGAAGATTACATGCCATTAGATTTGTCTTGGAGAATGATCATAATTTTGTTTTCAAAATGCATAGTTTATATTTTATTTTTGAAAGAGAGTATAAGGAGCAAACTGAGAACACTGTTAGAAGTTCAAGAATATTTTTGCTAAAATGCAAATTTCTGATTAAAACTCAAATGACCTTTAGCTTCTCACCCTCACTACAGGGATAATTAAGAAAATGGTCTCGGTCCATAATTTTTTAAAGCCATTTACATGATGGAGGAAGAAATTATGAGAAGCTCTGACTTCTGTTGCCTAACTCTGCTACCAGCTCTTGTCCCTTCCCTGGTCCTGCACTATGTCCTCTGATATTTATCCTCCTCAGCTTCATGCAGCCCACTTCACTGGGAATATGTACCTTTTCTATGCCTTTTGAACCGAGCAGAGGGGCAGGGTAGGTTTCTGAATTTTTTGTCTCCTGTGCTTCTTTTCTGAGATCACAAGGTATGCTTTGTCCTTAATAACCTGGGTAAACTTTTCCTCATGCAAAAATAAATTTGTACTATAACTATACAAAGTTCTTCAGAAAAAGATTGTGTTAAAAAAAAAAAGAAAAGATATGTGGAACATAAAGAAATAGCTTGCTTAATATGCCTAGATGTATACTTGCTGTACACTAAACGAGTAAGTACTCAAAGCTCCAATTACAGAAAATAAGATCAGTGCTTGCATATTCCACAACAGCAATCTGGCCCTGACTGCATGCTGTCCCAAAACAAAACAAGCAGCTCACTGAGCTGCATTCAAAGAGAGCCCTTCCTCTCTCCCTCCTCACCCCTGTTTTTCACTTAAGGTCTAGCTGCCTGTTCAAGTATACTAATCATTATCGAGGGTAGTTACCTTATTATTCACACCAGTTTTCTCCCTATTTTTTACTTATAAATGCTGTTGCACATATTGCTTTCTCTTAAGGCTTTGTGCAGCCAACATCTATGATGATCATATTCTCAATGTGATTTTAATAGCCGCCTTTTTAAAGGCTTCAGTAATGATTTGTCTGAGGCTGCATTTCAAAGACTAGTCTGCCATTGAATAAAGTGGCTTCTGATGGGGCCTTCTTTATCATTTATTGAGGAAAGTAATTTCATAGGTCAATGAACATTTTTCTAAAAGTAAAACCTATCCCCCTCACTTAAACTGAATGCTAGTCAAGCTAACATGTAATAACAAATACCACTCTGCAGGTAGACCTACTCAGTTCATTGCAACTTAAAAGATGGTTTATAACTATTAATCTTGTCATTTAGTACTAATTCACAATTGTATACTATCTGCAAAAGATAGACTATACAATCTAAAGTCATACTTGCATATCGATAGAAAAATATTGTGTGAATTGTTACAAGTGTCTCTAAAATCATCTGTTCTCTCTGGTAAATAGGTAAATACAAATGGTTTGTGATATGTATGTTAAGTGCAGAAATTACTACATTTTCATCTTTACAGTAATGGCAACTTTACTCTCCTTTATTTACATAATTTCGTATTTAGTCCAAACATTGTTTTTGTTTCTGTTGACACTATTCTAATGCTTCATCTAAATTAATTCTCCCATTTTCTGTTTTTAGCAAGCAAGCGTTCAGAAGCTTTCCAGAACTCAAGGATGCAGTTTGGGATCAGTATTCAATGTGGACAAACAGATTTGGAGTATTGCTGTTTCTGTATTCTGTGATATTGACCAAGGTTTGTTTTTAAAAAAGAAAATATTTGATTGTTTCCTTTTTCTTTGCTTGAAGGTGAGCAGCAAACTCAGAGTTAGTTCTAAATTTATGGTTAGAATGGCCAAATTATTCATGCTGTGAGGGGGCATCCAGCACAAAAACTTGTAAATATAAATTTAGAATTAAATTTATGTTCTGGATGTTGTCTGGTATTTTGTAGTGGTGTAGAAAAGGGGTGGACAGTATTCTTCCATTTAAAACAATTTATCTGTGTTTGGTGTCTTCTAACTCTGTCTGATTAAGATCACATTCAGCCTAGAAATCAGAAACTTGGGTTTCATTTTTGAGGGTTTTTTTTTTTTTTTTACCTGGTAAGTGAAATCGATGGAAAAAAGAAAATTGCTCAGAAGATCTTCTTGCAGAGCACCTGCTAATTGCTTATTTTATTAGAGTTGTAGTTGTCTGTTACCATCCCTATGAAATGGCCCATGGGGCTTTCAGTATCCCAGTAGCTTCAGTGTGTATGTTGATCTTCATCAGTTCTCAGCATGTGATCCCTCTTAGGTAGGTCTGCACTATGTCCCTAGTGCTCTCAGGGATGGATATTCTTAAACATGTCCTCCAGACGCTAAACCCAGAAGTGTGCCTCTAGAACATTTTCAGGTTCAACATGTGCAGGGTGGGAGGTTCCCTCCACAGAAACTGTAGATGTGTAGATCAGTGATTCTTAATCAGAGTGATTCAGCACCTTGCAGTGCCTTGAGGTACTTTCAGATATGCTTCAGGGTGCTACACAATGTTGGCATTGTTAGGTGTGCAAACCTGATTCACAAGATAAATCTTCCAAATAGGAATTCATAGTGTTAAAAACATTCTGACCTGCTCTGGCTTGAGTTCTTTGAACAGAAAATTGTTCTATTATTTCTTTAATCAAAAAAAAAAAAGTGATAGCTAAGTTAGCATTTTTTGAGAGGTGCCTTTTACATGATGGAGGCTGAGAACCATTGGTGTAAATAGACCCTTTGTGTCCATTATTTCTGTCTTCTGCTCCATCTGGTGTCTTTGGGATTGCATGGATGTTGCCGAGGCAAGAACGGGCCTTGTAACTGGTTGTAACACTGATGCTGCACAGACAGGAATAGCATCTTTTTTGCTGTCCCACAAATGCATGTTCTGCAGTGCTAAACAAACAAAAGTAAAACTTTTATAAAGTAATTGGAATAAAGTAAAAGCAGACCTGTTTATATGTTTTCTAGTTTTAGTTTTTCAGTTGCTTGTGTGCTCTTATATAATCAAAATGAGATCCATTGGTTGCCATTCCCTTTCCTTCCTTACTTAACAGACCCTTCCATCTTACTATTTTGCATCCTTCTACCAGAGGAAGGTTTGAAAACTGATCTTCATTTTAGGACCAGTACACGCTAATTTTTTTTGTGGCAGGATTATACATTATTGACACGTGTTGCCTTGCAGGTTTGTAATGTTTACTATCCCAAGGATGAAGGACATAGTTCATGTCACAGCTTCAGATCTCTGTATGGTAAAGGCATTACATTGCAGCCAGACAGTAGAGGAAGTCCCTGTTATGTCTTGTCTGATTGTTACTTTATATTATATCTCCTAGTTTTAAATGTGTGTTCTTTCTTTAACGGGGGGAAAAAAAACATTTTATAAATATTCCAGTGAGTAGTTTCTACTTTGTCTAGGGTATTGAAAACATAAAAAACGAAATTGAAGACTCAACAGAACCATTAATAGATCCTGTTTATGGCCATGGAAGGTAAGTTGGTAATAATGATTTTATGCTTGCTGCCACTTAAACTTTTACCAGAATAATTCATTAATAATGTTCTTTGCTGTACAGTAATAGACTAATAATATAAAGTTGGCCAGTTTGCAAAGGATGAAGAGAATTCAGTTGTCATTTTACAGTAAATAAAAGCAACTTAATTGTAATATAATTTTTGTCTGAGTTCTTGGTAGCTCAACTGTGCAGCCTTTTGGTTTTAAGAAAATATCTTCTTAATACTGAACAAAAGCATACAAACTTTTATGAGAGAAGTTAGCAGTACTGCATTTAAATGTGCTGGTAGATAAATGTAGATTATCTCGGCAATAACGAAAATAAGCAATGAAAAAATAGTGTAGTAAATACTTAGTAAGATGTGAGTAATTTTTCTTTATTTTGTTAAAGAGTAAGTAAATTGTCAGAATTTTATTGCATGTTAAGTTTTCATAGGGTCTTTATTTCCATTACATAGCCAAAGCTTAATTAATCTCTTGCTGACGGGACATGCTGTCTCTAATGTGTGGGATGGAGATAGAGAGTGCTCAGGAATGAGTAAGTAAATTCTAGTTTATATTTTAACCTAATTGTATGTGGTATAGCAGTTGTATGCTAGAAACTTGTATTGGTACACGTGTTATCTAGTTCTGTAGATGAGAAGCTACTATACTGTCCTTTAGTTCAGTGTGTTCATCAAATAAAAATAATACCTAAATATAAACCGAAACATAAACCTCAGAGAGTTTTGTGAGGATTAGACAGCTAATATTGATACAGAACTTAGTGTAACTTAAAAAAATTATTTCAGTTATGTATGTGGGGGATAGTAAATGGAGTTCTGGCCCCAGACTATCCAAATTGGGTGGGGTGGGTTGTTTCTTAAAATTGTACAGAGGGCATATTTTGATCAGTTACATCAGACTCTAAAGTTCCCCTGTTTTCAGTAATGAAACTGAAGTTGCTGCATTGACAACACCACTGCTTTTTCTTTTCCACTCTTTCTGGCTGTTTTTGTTGTCTTACTCCTCTTTTGGTCTCCTTTGGCTACCTCCCTGTCTCTTGCTTTTTTATCATCTTTTCAATTCCTTTAAGTATTTCAAACCCTAAAGCAATTTTATTCAGACCCACTTATTAGTAAAGGTGTATTTGAAACTTCAGTATTTATAAAATTGAACAAATATATGTATGATACTAATTCCTGATAAAGTTATGACTTGTCAATGTGTTGCCTTTTAATTTCAGTTAGGATAGGTTTTCCCTGGTGTATCATAACAATAGAAATTCATATTTTAAGCAAACTTGTATTTTTGCTTAGTTATTAAAAAGGTATTGGATTATAATATCTAGGGATTCAAAACTTTTGCAGGTAGTGTAAAATACTCTAACTCATGAAATTACAGAAGTGCAAGTGCTAGGTAACTCTTTTCCTACAAATTTCTAGTCAATATAATTTATTCAGAAAATTATCTCTGAATGTGTTTCACTCTGACCACATACACTTTTTCCTTTACATGGTCTTGGTCTTCTCTCTTATTCCCACAGCTCTCCATAGTTGGAACATGTTTTTCTATTCGTGGTACCCAGTTTATTTTGAGTCCTGTCTTTGAAACTCATCTTTATTTTCTTCATGAAGCATTTTGGTGGACTGTACCAGATCTTACTGGTTTCATTTTTATTGGGTCATGTGCATCAGTCTGGAAGGTGGCAGTTTCACCTGAAAGAAGCAGCAATATATTATATACAATGCTGTACCATGTTAAGTACAATACTGTGAGAACTTCTGCATTATGTCTTATTGACACTAGGTGACAGCATTCTAATGTTAGGTGAACTGCTTCAACTTAAGCTTCTTTGGGTAAAAGTGATATCTTTTATTAGACCAACTAAATAGTTGGAAAAATTATTTGAAGTTCTGCAGAAGCAAGAGCAGGCCTAGAAAATTGGTACTTTTTTGCAGTCTATGATTTTTTTCTTCTTTAGAAGAGTAGCTTTTGTCTGATACCCACGCAGTACTTGCAAAAGTTTTGTTAGCAAAATGGCAGTATTTTAGTGGTCCATGAAGTATATGAAAAGCAAGGGTTTTTTGGTGATATCTTTTGTTGGACCAGCTGTATAGTTAGGAGAGAACTTAGACAAGCATTTAGGTCTGGGAATAAAGATTATTGACTTCTCTGGCAAGAAGCCAGAGCCACCCACCATAATCTGCTATGCTGGGCAGGGGGAGTGGAATTTCTCCAGAGATGACTGTTCTTTTTACATGTCACAAAAAAGTAGGCAGTTCTGTCACCCTTGCCAGATCTTTTTCTCAGTGGTTATTTGAACATTCATTATATAACAGCAGTTTCTCTGTGCTGCTGTGTACCTGGAAGGGAGAAAACTTCTACCTGAAGTGCCATTCCCCTAAGTACTAATAGAGAAGCCAGATATTCCGTACTATATCTTAGCTGCTTTAAATATCACTTGTATCTGGCTTGTTCAGTATTCTCTTAAGAATTCTGAAATCTGTGGATTCCTGTATTGCTCTTTATACAGCCTTTATGTAGCAATGTGACAATAAGAGTTCAATTTCGTGTCTAAACCTACTGAAGTCCCTGTTTCAGTTCTGTCTGGATTATGTATCATATATTCAAAACAGTTTTCATTGTTACTATGGATGCTTAAGAAAACAACTTAGTCAATAAATAGACCTTAATCAGTGAAATAATTGTGATATTTGATTGCTGGTGTCTGCTGTCCCTGGCATTGGAGAAGCTTCAAATTTTTACATCATTCAATCTAACAACTTTCTGAAACGAAGCTGTAACTAGCAGGCTTCTGTTAAAACTAAGTCAGTTCTATTCATTTTATAAAAGAAGTATTAAAGTCTGTAGCTAAATGACCTTACCTAAACCTTTTTTCTACTCTTTGTAAAAAAATTAGCATGGTTTTGTAGGCTTGAGTATCATTTTATATCATGTTATTTTGAAGGAATTTTTAGAAGAAAGTGAAAATGGCTGAAACCAGGCTTTTGTATTTTTTGTGTATTAAAATATTTGGGATTTGTTTTTAAACAGAACTTCTTGGCATACATAAACAGGCAACTGTAGGCTTTTTGACCGTAATGGAATCTCTGAGATATTGTAAGGTAAGCTGCCTTTTTTGTGTAATTTTAAAATGTTTTCTACTTCTGCAGCATTATGCTCTTCTGAAAATACCTTCAAGTGTTGAAGAGTATAATCTTGAGTAATATTATTTAGCAATAATACTTCTGGCTTCAAACTGAAACAGGATAAAGTTATGCAACAATGCCTCTCTAATGATGTTAAATAAATCTTTATGAGTAAACTTTGAAAGGAATTGTTATATAGGGATGCTATTCATTCACTGAAGAGTGACTATGGTTAGCTGGTGGCAATTTCACCTTGAACAAAATAATCAGTTGCGTGTAAAAGTCTGGCTTCTCTCAGAAATACTATCCGTTTCACAAAGTTTTGAATGCATCGAAGTAAAACCAGTTTGAGTAACTAATATCACCTTTTCTGGTCGCCCTCAGCGCTTTAAAAAAGAAAGAAAACACTGCAGGGGAAATTGATAAATGGTGGTATATTAACAATTTAATTTTTTATTAATCTTCACTTTTTTTTAGTTAAGATTAAATTCCAAGGAAACGGATGTTGTGTTTTACAACATTCTTTTTGCAATTCTGAGGTTGCTGCCACTGTTTCCTATATTAGAAACAAAAGCAAAATGCCACAGATATTTACTTGGTATTTTTGGTGCTTTTTAGTATCTCTTTGTTCCAGTTGCAATGCTTTTCGAGTGTCGTGTGTAGGTGTCCTGGCATGTTTAAAAATCGAAAACAAAAAAATTACAGATTCTTGTGGTAGAGAACCTTAGTTTCCTCAGTCCTGGGAGCTTCGTTTAGGAGACATTTGTAAATTTTTGCTATTTCAGTTGTAATACTTTGGAACCTTGACATTGATGTTCTTTAGTTATCTTTATGCATGCACACTACTGTTATGGTAACATTTCTGAAAGGGGTTGTTCACTTGTTTTTGTCTTCCTTGAGTCCTTTTGACTTGCCTAATGCTGTCAGCGTATTTTGTAATCCTTGCAAATACCTAAAAATGTCAGAACCTCAGTGTATCAATTATGCATGTCCCTTCATTTAAATGGATATGCAGCAGCAGACTGAGGTAGACATAAATGCACTTCATGTACTGCATTTGGTATAATGCCCTAGGCTCTGGGGTATTGAAGGGGTTTTCCTTTCCCAAGTGAGGTGATGGTGACATTCATTTTGGTTTGAAGAAAGACCAAGAACTATATTTGATGGGTCTGTTTTTTTATTTCTTTCCTCTTTATTTTGATTTATTTAAATATGGATTCTTTGTATTGTATACCTAGTCAAATCAATCAACCAAGTGGACTTCTACCTTTATTAAGGGTAGAAGCAGTGGTGCTCTTAACCCAGAATACCGGCAGCAGCTCTACTGTGGGTTAAAGAGCAAAATTACTTCATATTACTTTTAGGGAGGGTGGCACTTTCACTAAATATATAACTGTTTTTGTTGTGCTTTTACATTTTTTTTTTTTTCTCTAAGGTTGGCTCCTACTTGAAATCTCCAAAGTTCCCTATTTGGATACTTGGCAGTGAAACACACCTCACAGTCTTTTTTGCCAAGGTATGATAACTTTGGTTTCTGTTATTTGACTTTAGTTAGTTAAATTCCATATAAGTCCAGTGTTCAGATCTTGCTACAATGTAAGTTTCTGCCTTTAATATAAAATTTAAATCACTGAGCATTTTTAAACAAACCTTTCCATTTTTAAACACTCTTCCCTTAAAAACATGTTTGTTCAAAAAGTTTCATTAATGTAGTTGGATGTTTAGGAAATCTTTGTTTTCCTAAGCTGAAAGTATTGGATTTAAAAAGAATACAAACTTTTCAGCCACTGATTTTTGTAGTTTAGTATGCCATAGTTGTCATGTGTAAAATTTCAAATTGCTGCAGTTGTGGGAAAGATTGAAAACAGTGTATAGTGGCAGATTGCAACTCCATCTGTCTGACGGTGCTTTTTGCACATTTTAATGATTAGTTTCATAGTTTCATAGTTTCAGGGTCGGAAGGGACCTAATAGATCTTCTAGCCCAACCCCCCGCCAGGGCGGGAGAACAACCCAAAAAACAAAACAAAACAAAACAAAAACAAAAAAAACAAACAAAAACCCACTCACCCTAAAAACAAAAACGGGACTCAAATGAGTCCAGCCAGGTAAGTATCCAGCCTCTTTTTAAAGATCCCCAGGGTAGGGGCCAGCACCACCTCCCTTGGAAGTTGGTTCCAGCTCCTAGCCGCCCTAACTGTGAAGTAGTTTTTTCGGATGTCCAATCTGTACCTCCTCTCCATCAACTTGTGCCCATTACTCCTTGTTATGCCAGC